TGGTTTATTCTGTGCTTGTGACAATAAACATTGTTAAACCTTTCACTTCTGTTTCCGTCTCCGTGGTGTTCTGCATAACTGGGTCTCACTAGTGAACCCATCATGACACTTTTCAGTTAAAAAAAGGGTTATTTGCCAAACTGTACTACATCCTGACCTTCAGCCATCTGCTTTGTTTCCTGTCTTTTATTACTGGACAGACCGATTAATCCAGGTGTGTCTGACCTCAGTAACCATGACAACATTAGCCAGACACACCTGGATTAGTCTGTCCAGTAATGAAAGGTTGGAAGCAAAGGAGCTGGGTAAGGTTCAGAAAGTAAGAGGAGGTAGGAATATATCACATTGAGATGGAAAACAAGTTAAGACAGAAATGAAAACATAAGATAAATAGGAACACAGCCAAAGCTGCTAATATTTTTCACAATTTAAAAGATGACTCTGTAGCTGTTTTATATAAAGATCCACTCAGTCTGCAGAACTAGATAGGGGGCAGGAAGGTCCTGGCAGCCGGGAACCGCAACAACAAAGCCTTTGTTTTTATTTAGTTTATAGATTAAACTTTGGGACAGAGAGCAATCCCTGATTATTTAAACTAAGGGTCCTACTGTAGGAGTCAAAAATGGATGCTAAACCTTTAAAATCAATGCATGATGGAGCATTGATTCCCTGAATTAGTGACTTGAGAAACTTTTCTCTAACTGCGAAGTAAAAATGGAAGTCCTTGTTTTCTTGAACTCAGAAAAATCTATTTCTAATAACTACAAAAAGCAATGAATCTGCTCCAGCATGGAATTATGGTGCAATGTTCACGATGCGTTACAGAGTAAAGCTTTGAGAAACATGGCCTCCATCATAATCAACCAACAACAACAAAAAATTAAAAATACAACTGGCCTTGTCTTAAATAATTTAACCAAAGGTCTGCATTGACTTGTAAGTGCTTACTGCTGATGCTGCCCAACAGTTGTAGTTGTGTCGCCCTCTGATGGCCTGGTTCACAGTTACAGCCTCTATCACAGCTGTCACCAGGTATAAAACAGCAGCACTGCAGTTAAAACACAAAGACTGAAAGAGAAAAACACAGAATCGCTAAGGCATAAATGAAAAGCCACAGAGGAACAGATTTGGGCTGAAGTATTGAACCGGACAGTGTGTTTTGGTGGATGGGGGTTACCACTGTAGTCCAAGGGATCTGTGGTATTCTGCTGTGGGCTCGGGTGAGATAAATTATGAACAGGCATATGGTTAGAATCCAAAGCAGGATAGCCACAAACATGACCCAGCTGAGAGCAGACAGGTGGAAGTAATCTGTGCCTCCAACCAGGATCCAGACCAACATACCGCTCAGCTGCAGAGAGGAGAGGCTAATGAAACACTGAAAACCACAACACAGATATTCTGTATTCTTAATTCATATCTAAATGCCAGCCTGTTGCCTCCCTCCCTTTCAGTTCATTTAAAAGGAGCTGCTGAGTGACTGAATAACTTTTCCTACAAAAACAAACCCCACCCTTCCCTTTTCCCAATTGGATGTGTCATATCACCAGAAGACTTTCTTTCTTGTCGGACTGTAAGTTTTATTTTCAAAGTAAAAATCATAAACATTTTTTTGTTTTATCACAGTGATCCTTTTTTGTTTGGCATCAAACTAATTAAATAAAAATAAAAAAAATCCTGCTTTTGATTTCATTTCATCTCAGATTGCATCATCCCTGGAATGCCCATCCTGTTAGCTGCAGCCAGCCAGGCTGTATTTAGAGAAAAACTTCCAAGGACTTTTCCTCCAGCTGATTTGAAGAGGAAGAGAGACAATGAGGGAAAGAAAGGAGGGACACTTGATTTGCTTTGTGTTTTTGGTTAACTGCCTATTTTATTGAAAAAAGAAAAAAAAGAAACTGCTTCTAGATTTGGAGGACTTTGTTCAGAGCGGTTATAGTTGAAATATATTTTTTGAATTCATTTTTCATTGATAACTTCACCTTTATCTTTCAATATAACATATTTTAATGTATTTTTGTGCCCACATTGCTTGATGTAGCTTGCATCTAAATTGCAGCCCAGTTCTAAGTAAAAGCATTAAAGATGTCCCAAACAGGAAAGAATTTTGATCTATCATCAGATGAACTTTAGAAATAGTCAATGATCCCATCATGCACTGTATTTTTGTCTTCTCTGACTGCAATCTAACGTCAAAATAAAAGGCACACTTACTATCTCAGCCAAAAGCAGTATTCCTGTGGTGTTTGTGGTGAAGTGCTGGTCAAAGGCCAAGGTGGATGTGGAGGTGTTGAACTGTGGCAGAGAGGAATCCCTGGAGCTCGTCACCACAGCTGTCCTGTCCATGATGCAGGGACACAGAGGGAATGTGAGCTTTCCCCAAAGAGCGCTGGTGCAGCACAGGAAGTGCCTTTCCTGTCCCGGAATTTAGCAAGGACACCCATCCCTGAAAATAAAGGAACACAAATTTACTTTTTACTCTATATGTCAAATATAAAAGCTATAAATCTACATGCATGGGATGCATCCAGATTAAAGCACACCTGGCACAGAAAAAAGGCATTTTACAGTTCAGCTCTTACTATGAAACAAACCTTTTCCAGCTGTCTTATGAAGGAAGGTTATTGTTACCTTGTTTCCCTATGAAAAAGGTAGACACTTTGATCAGAATGCTTCGGTAAAACAACACATACCACAGAAGCAACGAGCAGGAAGGGATGACCAGTTTACACACGTGCATGTGGTGTAGTCAATGATAACGAAGAAAAGCAAAGTTAGCTATATGAAGAATTTCCCTGTAATAAATATTAACAAAATTGTAAATCTAAAGAACTGTAGCTTTTATTTCCAGAATTTCTAAATAATTATTAGGACACAAAGAGGTTGACTCAACTAGTTTCACTTTAACATGAAAATAAAGAGGAATGTATTTCTGAAATAAAATCTTATCATCTCATCTTATTTCTTTTACCGGTATGTGTTTTTTTAGCTTGATTCTTGCACTTTTAACCTAGCTTTTCTTAAAGAAGTGAAACATGTAGATCTTACCTTATGTTTTAGATGACATAGTGCTACAACTCAATCATATTTTTAATCGAATCTTATATTTTATGGAATCTCTCAAAAGCCTTTGCAGGAATAAGTGTCAAAGAGTAAAAAGTAGCATAGAGGTAAAAAGCTAAGCTTGGACTGATAATGCACCAAAATATGAACATGAATGAATATTCTGTTTTGCATTCTACCTACTTTGAAATTTCCAAATGATCCAACTGCTTTTCTTATGGAAAACTGAAATGTATTATTGTTCTTTTCAGAATAAACCCCCCCCAAAAATCTAATGTTTTGTAGAGATATGCTTTCAGCACTAAATTATATGATCCATTGGGTTGCTAACATCTATGAAGGCTTTTCAACAAATCCTCCTATTTATCTTATCTCTACACATTGAGGTTTGTTTAGGTTTAGTGATTTGTTTTCTATTGTCAAAAGATTATAATTGCAAAACTTTAAATCTTAAAAACTGAGTGGTGTTTATGCTGGTCTATTAATCTTTGCATTGGACTCCCGCTCAGTTCACTCATTTAATACGAACCTCATTATTTATGTGGGGCTCCAACTAACAATTAGTTTACAAATCGATTAATCTGTCAATTATTTTTTTCGATTGATCGATTAATAATCGGATAGCCAACAGTTTGTTAAATAATATTTTTTACAAAATTAAAGGAGGTGAAACTGAAACTTTTCCACTTGAGGAGTTCTGGATAGAGTATATTGACAGACGGAAAAGTTTTCTTTATCTCAGAGGTAAAATATTTATTTACTTTTTTATAATTATTGTTGCTCTGTCAGCTAAAGTCATGTTTTAGAGTCTATATACTCCAGATAATAATTAATCAATTACTCAATTAGTTGACAATTGTTTCAATAATCGACTAATCATGATTCATCCAAATAATTGTTTAAGCTATACATGTATCTAAATTTAATTTAATCAAATATAAAATGTTTTTACATGTTTTAAAAAATGACCAATAAAAACACATCTCTTTGGTGATACACAGTGCCCAGACACTGGGTTGCAAGGATCTCTCAAACAAAACGTTGGTGCAGTGCAGTGCTGAAAACAATGACTGGCTTTTGCCACATGGGGGCAGTATTTACACATGGACAGCAGCAAAACATCTGTAAGAGAAAACAGTAGACAAAAGACACAAGGTTGAAGCCAAGGATGTAACTATTCAACTCTGCTTAATTGTCTTCAAGGTGGGAGTGTTGATTGTTTTCAATGTTTTATTTATTAATTTTGTCATATTTGTTTTGAGATACACAAGGTAAAAGAGATTTCTTTCCCAGGTTTCTCTATGGAGGTGTTTTTACTTTGGGCTTTTGTAACATTGATGAAGAAACTTCAATAACCGAACTTTAAATACTTCTGAAATGCATGAGTGCTTGTATTATTTTTATATTGTTCCTTTTTCAACAATTGCCTTGTTTTTGGCTTTGGCAATAGTTTCCCATACAGGCACACTGATTGGAATGCAAGTGACTCAAATTCAAGAGAAGCCAATAAGATTATGCAAACCAATAGTCATTCAGACAAAGGTGCTTTGGGTTTTTCAGCAGCAGTCAATGCTTGGACCAAACATTATCTGACTCCATATGCTTTATCTTCTGCTGCTGACAGACTGATTCTTCCCTGCTGGGCATTTTCTGCATTCTACAGCAATATATCCACTGCAGCAGTCTATAGTCTTCATTACTCTTCCTCCTCTGATGTTAATGAAACATCGGAGCAGATTTTCTAATCTAACCATATAAAGCCAAAACATAGGAGGAATACTTAAGCATTCTTGACATATTTTTAATTAGTAGTTCTACAGCATTTGTTTAAAACACATGCAGTGTTGTAAGCTTTCCTGCTGCTTTGTTACAAACAGAAACATTGTCGTTTTTATGGTGAATTTACATAATCAATGAACATGAAGTAGGAAGAAGAAGGGTATTTATAAAGTTTTCAAACCCCTTTTACTAATAAAGTTCTGAATTGCCCTGCAGGCACAGACCTGTGTATTTTGAACTAATAAATAAATAGGGTCTATCTTTTTGGAATGATTTTCCGTTTGAATAAATCTGTTCTATGAAGGCCACTGGGTTTGTTAAAAAGAACATTAGACCAACTCAAAGATGTTGCAATGCACATATCTTATTCAGTCCACGTCAAAATGATGTTGGTCTACTATATAAAATCCACATAAAGTTATGTCGGTGCATGTTATTTAGATTTTTTTTAAATACTTTTTAAGGACACTAAAGCTTGCATATACCACATGCAGCAAATGGGGGAAAATGTATTACAATGAATGTCAGCAGTTTATATTTGATGGGTGAACCATTTTATGTCTATAGGAGGCCAGCTTGCTCTTTTGTGCCTATCATAATTAATAACAATAGAGCAGCTTTCACTGCTCATCAGTGGCCTTGCACCTCCTACAGCAGCTTATTTCTGGCATTACTAAAAAGTAATTAAAACAAAGCTTGGTTTTCATCTAAGCATTCCAAGTAGAATTGGATTTTTCCTTTTATACCATGAAATACCAGGAGTCTTTGAGGTGTACAGGTTATTAATAGTTTTTCTCTTGTATAGAGCCTTATTGCCCGCCACCTTGGCCTCACATATTGCCCATCATATTATATAGAGCTTGAGGAGGAACTGAGGTAGAAAGTGTTAATTTGTGATGTTGCTGCTCTAAGATTTGAAATAATTATGACAGGCCCTGTTTAGCTGAATAGCAGACAGCACAGTACACTGAGTGAAAAAAGCCTACTAACGTTTTTTGGGATTTTTAAAAAGGAATACATTTTGTTTTTATCATTTACCCATTTTTTTGTTTTTTGTTTAAGGCTACGGATTTATAACCTGGTTTGATATCACAACATGTGCCTTTTATAGGATCATGGTGTCAGACTACATGAACAAAAAAAAAACTGAAAATAGCTGTTCTTTAAGTGTTTTAAACTGAAAAAAATATCTTTAAATCCTGTACTTAAGAATGTAGGAAGGGGAAGTGGGGGATATATGAAATCACTCCAGGAAACAATAGCTTTTATTCAGGTTTCTTTTCACATATTCCCTTCTTCAGACTCCCTTTTCCCATTCTCACTATTGTCTTCATGGCCTTTTCATAGGAACCCACTTTTAGCTTCCTGTAATTGTTGCCAGTCCTAATGTGTCTTCATGGTGTGTTCACTTAGATTCTGCTGTGTAACACAAAGCCTCATGCTTCAGCCTTAACTCAAACTCTACATGCTAAGGTGAGAGTAACCTGAACTCAACCTCCTCACACATGCTTCTTGCTATATGTACTGAGGACCATGTGTTGACTCCCATTTATTTTCAGTCATTTTTGACTCTTTTTATGCCATAACATTGACAATAACTGTAAACCTAAATATTACCACTGCATACATAACCCTAAACCAAACCGATGGCAAAATTGCTTGTGAGTATTACAAAAACTTGACCTCACTTTGCTGGTAAAGTAACAAAAATGGTCCTCACTCAGATGGCCAAGCACACATTTACACACACTCAAACACACACCCTAATAAATGTGTGTTAGCCCAGATGCTGCACTGTAATTGGCTGCCATGGCTTCCCACTGTGGCAAAGATATTTTTAACACACGCTTAAAAACACACACATACTAATCCATGCCTCTGCAACATCTGCCACATCCCTAAATGCATGTGCTGCCTAAATGCAGCCACACATTCACATACACACTGGAAACACGAGGGCAGCCCAGCCCTGTTTAACCACCAGCCCTGACTTTTGGTCTAAATAAAATGATGTGGGGGTTCCACAGAAAGGTACAGCCTCATCTTGGGAGACTGAACCTCTTCTGCAGCTGCGCTTGTCTTGGATTATTTCCTTCTAGCAGTGACAAGGGTTCTGAAGCAAAGTTCTAAACCATTATACTGTAGGTTTACATTTCTCTGTGAATATATTTAATTTCTTCATAAATACACTTTTTATTTCTCTGTCTAATTTAAATTATACATCTTCTTTGTCCATATTATTAGTGAAGTTAAATAAAAAGCTCTCAGGATGTCAGACTGCAGTCACTCTTCACTGGGAGAAATTGTTCCCCACAGTTTTTCTTCGATAAACAATGATGATGTGATATTAAAACTTGCCTGCAGCTATTTGAAGTTCGAGTAAAACATGGAAATTGCACAGAGAGAAAGCCGCTGCTGCCGTTCACCTTTTGATTTTCGGTTAACTGCCTCTGGAAATGTAAACCCTCACAATTAAGATTTTCCTTTCTTTTTATGCTGTATTGTTCTAAAACTGGTTAATATGAAACTCGATTAAGTAAAATGTAATTGGATCATAAAATGTGATTACATATGTGCCATTTTGACCAGTTT